AATGAGGGAGCATAAAGTCAACAGGATGAAACACCAGACCATCCTCCGGTACGAGCTTGTAAAATGAAGACTAGGATATGAGGGTGGAACTACTCCTCGATGTGTTCCAAGGTGCAATGTCTGTGTGTGTGTGTGTGTGTGTGCTCGTTACAGAAAGGGGCACTGAGCAATTATGAGATGAAACTCGCTCAGGGTACAAGCTGCACGCAGTATGAGCTCAGCACAGAATGCGAGAGAGTAATTATGAGGTGGGGGGGGGGGTGAGAGAACTTAGTCAGAGTGTGTTCTGGAGGCAGTGTGTGTGTCCAGTGCAGGAAGGGAAAAGCAATTATGGTATGGAGATTGACCGTGGGACATTCTGCAAGCAGTATAAAGGGGGAGAAGCAATTATGAGGTAGTATGTGGCTTGGTTACATCCTGCAAGCAATGTGTGCTCAATACGCGGAGAACAAAGGCAATTATGAAGTAAACTTGGCCTTGATTACATTGTGAAAACCATACGTGTGCTCGACACAAGTGGAGGTAAATTAATTAAAATGCTGAGAAGGAAGGTAGCCAGGCACCTTTACTTTATACCTTCAGTGCCTCCCACACTCCCACACTCCCTCACTCCCACACTCCCTCACTCCCTCACTCCACACAGTGCCCCACACCCACCTTCCCTCCTTCCCTCCACACACTGACTTCCACTCAACTCGTGTAAAAGATTTCACAATTATAACCAAGATCAGTGACGTCATGATGCCGAGAAGACGAGCACGTGTGTTGATGGTGAGGATTGTGACCACTACAGCTATGGTGTAGATGGTGACGATAATGATCTCTCTCGTTATAGTGCAGGTGGTGTGGAATATAACCATTATGATACAGAAGGTGAACTGCGGTTAAGGAGATTATTTTGCAGGTGGGACAAACTATCACTCAGTTGCGATCATTGAGAACTGTGTGGTTTATGAGGTGCTTTGGGGAAGGAGTGATTATGACGCAGTTAACAGTGGTAGTAATATTTTTTTATTATGCAGTGCCATCAAAGGACGCAGTGGTTACAGTGTGTTGTATAGTGTGTTATAGTGTCATTAATAGAGAAATTGATTATAGTGTGTTACAGTGTCACAATTACAGGGTTAATTTCATAATGTTTTACAGTGGTATTAGTGGAGACATTCATTACAGTGTTTTAGTGTTATTTATGTGGGAAAAGTTGTTAATATATGTTGTGTTATTACAAGTGACGATTGTTCAAATTAAAGTCAATGTCGATCTCTCTCTTTGTGACCTATCTGTCTCTCTTTCTCTCTACTCTGTCTCACACTTTTTACTGTCTCTCTCTCTTTCTCACCCTGTGTCTGTCTGTTTCTCTGTCTCTGTCTCTGTCTCCTCTCTCTCTCTCTCTCTCTCTCTCTCTCTCTCTCTCTCTCTCTCTCTCCCCCACCTCCCCCCACATCTCTCTCTTCTCTCAGACCAATGTTTTGATCACACACGGCAACAGAGAGAGAAGGAGTGTGAGAGAAGGTGGGCAGTAGTGCCGTAGCCTCGAGTCTCGTATAACCTGTCCCAGCTCAGCCCACAATACTGCCTCTGGGGGAAAATACGTCCCGTAATGAAGAGAGGTGATGGACAGGCTGACAGGAAGGAAGGGAAGGGGAGACGGAGGGAGAACAGGGAAACAAGAAAGGGAGAAATTGAGATGGGGAGAGGGGATACGTAGGATGAGAGGGAGGGAAAACGAAAAAAAAACAGAGGATAATATGAAAGAGGGGATGAAAGGGAAAGGGGGAATAAGCAGGATGAGAGGGAGGAAAGGAACAGAGGTGTGAGAGAAATAGGAGAGGTGAGAATTCAGAGGGACAGGTAGAAGGGAGGAGGAGGAGTTTAAGGAGGAAGTAGAGAGAAAAGAAGAATAAGGAAGGGAGAAATTGAGAGAAAGGGAGAAGAATGGGAGTGAAGACATTAATAGGCAAAGATATAAGAGAAAGGAAGAGAAATTCAGAAAAAAAGAGAATGTAAGAGAGAAACGAAAGAAGAAGGAAGACATCTAGAGAAAAGCTGGAAAGTGGAGAGAAAACCAACGGAGAAAGAAGTAGAAGAGAGGAAAAGAGAATGAGAAAGATATTAAAATTATATGATGAAGGAACAGAAAGTAAGGAAAAAAAAGGAAGAGAAATAGATGAAAGAAGAAAAAAGTAGAGAAGAGGAAGAAAGAGAGAAGAAAAGAGAAAGGTGTGGAAAGAAAGAACCGAAAGGGAAAATAAATAAGAGTATAGAAAGCAAGAGGAGGAGGAGTGGAGACGAACAAGTGAGGTGTGTGGCAGAGTTGTGTGTGTGTGTGTGTGTGTCCTCTGTTCTTCCTTCATTGTGGTCCAATTCATTTCCCTCCCGCACCTTCCTCCACCCCGGCAGGAAGATTCTCCAGTAAGGTATTGTGAGCGTAACGACAGTACAGCGGGGTGGTGGGTCGTATGAGGGTGGTGGGTCGCATGGGGATGGTGGGTCGTGTAGGGGTGGTGGGTCGTGTGGGGGTGGGGGAGTCGTATGGGGGGTGGGGAGCATTATGTGGCTAGGGGTGGGTGAGGTGGAGGGAGGGGTGGAGAGATAAGGAGGAAGGAGAGAGTTTGGAGGAGTGGGAGGATGGGTGGGTGGAGGGAGTGGGGAGGAGGGAGTGGGGTGGAGGAGTGGGGAGCCAGAAGTGAGAGGTGGCGGAAGGGAAGTGGAGGGGAAGCAGAGTGGGGAATTGAAGGGAATGAACTGGGGACAGAGTGGGAGTGGGTGGCAAGAGGGTGGAGAGGAGAGAGTAAATGGAGAGGGAATGAGTAAAGGGGATGTCTCTCTCTCTCTCTCTCTCTCTCTCTCTTACTCTCTCTCTCACACACACACACACACCAAACTATACCTGTAAGTTAAGGTGTTTGGGCAGGTAGTGTGGAAAGATTATATCAAAGGAAGCAAAGATAATTATTCCCAATATTCAGGCAGATTAATTCCCAAATTATATTAACAAGATTAGGAGAAAACGCTTTTCACACACACACACACACACACACACACACACACACACACACACACACACACACACACACATACACACACACACACACACACACACACACACACACACACACACACACACACACGTAAAAATAATTTCCTGTCCTAAGCTCCTCTGAGAAGGTCTTATGTAGCTATTTATTTCTCATTAATAAAGATGAAGGAGGTACCGTATGGTAGGTCAGGTCTGGTTAATGTAGACTGTAGAGGATAGGCTTTTGTATTATCAGCCCAGATGAGGGGAGGGGATGCACGATGAGGGGAGGGAGGGGATGGAAGAGGGGGAAGGAAAGGTGGGGAAGTATCGTTAAAAAGAGTGAGATAAATGAGGAAGAAGAGGTGGTAAGGAAGGAGGTAGATAGGTGGGCAGAAATGAGAAGGGGAGAGGGAGAGGTGAGAAAATATGGGGAAAAATGGAAGGGGGAGATGAAAAGAGAGAAGGTAGGGAGAGAGATAGGGAGAAGGAAAACGTGATAAGGGAAGAGAAATGACTGAGAGGGAGACGAAAAGAAGACTAAGGAGATAGAAACGACCAAGGAAGAAGGGAAGGGAAGGGAAGAGAAGAAGAGGGGGAAGGGTAAGGAAGAACTATGTGAGAGATTAAAGAAATGGGAAGATGGGTGAGAGTCTTGACAGGAATAAGGGCTACAGAAGACATAGGAGAGAACAGCTAAAGGGTAGAAAGAGACAGTAAACAAGACAGTGAAAGGTAGAATAAAAAAAAACCAAAAGGGGAAATATTAAAGGGAGAAAATGATACATAGAATTATATAGCATAAAAGCCATCAAGTTATATAATTACCCTGGTGATTTTAGCAGGTAACATGACTTCTGTGGTGCCTAATTGATGTGTCTACCTGGTGATTAGTTTAAGCTATACTGTTCTGGTCTTCCATGTGTACTCCTTCAAATGGTGATTATGTTACACTCTAATAACACCTATTTTGTGCACTACTGTCAAATACTTGTAAAACACTGCTACCACGAACCATCTTGTGTATTGCTGCTAAATAATGATAAGTTTACTGTTATTGTTCCCGACTGGTGTTAGAAAGATCAGTTCCAGCTTAAGAGTTTTCTCCCTGTGTTATACTGTGTTGCAGGATGGCATAGATCCACGCCAGCAGGGAGCTTAAAGGAACATGGTGCAGGAACGGGTGGAGGGGAGGAGAGACGGAGGGACGGAAGGAGGGAGGGAGGGTGGGAGAGTAGGAAGGAGGGATAGGATTAGATAGGTAAGTAGGGAGGGAGGGTGGGAGGGAAGGAACGAAAAGAGAGAGAGAGCTAGAGAGAGAGAGAGAGAGAGAGAGAGAGAGAGAGAGAGAGAGAGAGAGAGAGAGAGAGAGAGGTGGGAGGAAGAACGACTCTAAGATAGCGTGAGGAACTGTACCCAAATGTAAGAAACTTTTGAGAAGACGTGAGGAAGTCGTGAAGAAGGGTGGAATTGTGTACTGTGAGACACCGTGGCGTGGAAATATGCAAGCTTGATATAACGTCCAGAGGTATGTAGAGCGTGTAAGAATATTCTGTGGATGCGGCGACATAGACGGAAGGAATGTAGAATTGCAAGCTGGGATAGTGTCAAGTAGGAACATCTGCTTTAAGTTTAGATTACTGAAATATGGCGTGGACAAACATGAGCTTATGAGAGTATGAGGTTGAGGAGTAGTGTGATAGCTTGAGGAGTAGCGTAAGGAGTAGTGTGACTGATAGTGTAAGGAGGAGTAGTGTGATAGCTTGAGGAGTAGCGTAAGGAGTAGTGTGACTGATAGTGTAAGGAGGAGTAGTGTGATAGTATGAGGAGTAGCGTAAGGAGTAGTGTGACTGATAGTGTAAGGAGGAGTAGTGTGAGGAGAAGAAGCAGTGTGAGGTGTCTTCTGGAGGCACGAGGGGAGGCAGTAAGAGGATTAGTAAACAGAAGTCATCTGGAGTTATGCAATTTGTGACGTCTTGTATCAACCTTCAGAAGGGTGAGGAGAGATGTTGGGGTTGCAGGTGTAGGTTACAGGTTTTGGGGCTGCAGGTGTAGGAATAGAGGTGTAGGTTACAGGTTTTGGTGCTGCAGGTGTAGGAATAGAGGCGTAGGTTAAAGGTGAAGACAACAGGTTTATTGCTGCAGGTGTAGGAATAGAGGTGCAGGTTACAGGTTTTGGTGCTGCAGGTGTAGGAATAGAGGTGTAGGTTAAAGGTAAAGACAACAGGTTTATTGCTGCAGGTGTAGGAATAGAGGTGCAGGTTACAGGTTTTGGTGCTGCAGGTGTAGGAATAGAGGCGTAGGTTACAGGTTTTGGAGCTGTAGGTGTCTTAAAGTTATAGGTGTAGGAAATGAGGTTTCAGGTGACAGGTGTAGGATTGCAGGTATGGAATTGGAGATTTCGTGTTGCAGGTGTAGATCTTCAGGTGTATTGTTGCAGAGACTCAGTTATTAGAAGGTAGAAGGGAGTTAAAATTACCTTTACAAAACACACACTAATATGGAGTGAAATACAATGATGTGACGTGAAGAGGCATTTGGTACTGTGAATGAGCGTGGATAGGGCGTGGACTAGCGTGTAAGAGCGTGAGGTATCATGAATGAGCGTAGATTAGCGTGGAAGAGAGTTAGGTAGCATCGGTTAGCGTGGAAGAAGCGTGAGTGAGTGATTGAGTGAATGAGCGTGGACTAGCGTGGAGGAGCGTGAATGGGGAGCGTGAGTTAGCTCAGGTGGCCAAGTTCACCTGTGTGATCGACTACCAATAAACCTGGAAGGAATTGACGCGCGTTATGAATTCAACGTTTCCTGCACTACTGCCCTGTGAATATAGTTCCAGAGAGAGACAGACAGACAGAGAGGGAGAGAGAGAGAAATAGAGACAGAAAGGCAGACAGAGAGAGAAAGGGGAGAGAGATAAGGACAGACAGACAGAGACAGGTAGAGATAGATAAAGACAGACAGATAGACAGGGAGAAAGAGAGAGGCAGACAGAAAGAGACAGACAGGGAAACAGACAGAGGGAGTAACAGAGAGACATACAAACAGAATACTAGGTGCTGAGTAGACAAGGGTGGGGAATCTTTAACGTTAGAATGGCAGAGGGGAAATTCAAAGAACCTCTAGCGAATGAACAGAGAATGGAACCACTGCCAGCCTGCAAATTGATTACACAAAAAAAAAAAATAGCTACACATTTCGTAATTCCAAAACCAACCGGATAATTAAAAAAAACAAAAACATTATATAATTACGGAACAGTTAAAGAAAAAAAAATGTCGAGTGCAGTATATTATGAAAAATTTAAATCACAAGTGGATCAGTTTTAAATAATGGTTAAGAAAGCTACACGCGATTAAGCAGTTTATTGCATGTTCTCATATCACACGACATAATGTTAAATAACTAAAACGAAACTCAATTCTCATGATGAAGGGGAACGGTGTCTCTAAGGTGTTAATTACCTCAAATATATGAGAGGTTAACTTTACCTTCTTCGTGACCTCTTAAACGAGAAGGAGGTCAGTGTATTTTTTGGGGGGGTTACCTGCTCCCCAGTACCTAACGATACACCACTACTCCGTTTATATGTCTAAAAATACTCCTATCACGTTCAGTATACGAATTCGTGCACAAATATGGAAGTTGGTAATTTATTTAGTGAAAGTTGGGAGTAAACTGTATACTTTATCAGACAAGTGACCGAATCCACATATCTAGCGTATCAAAACATCTTATATACTAGCACAGGTTGAGATCTCAAGAGGAAACGTCAATTTTGTTTTCCATTTTTATAAGTTCTTTTCACACGAGTCCTGTAGCTGTTCATATTATTACTACCTGGAAAACTGAACAATACTCACATTAACAACGAGAACGCCTAGAGCAGCCGCAGCAGTCAGCAGCAGTCAGCACGAGCAGCAGTAGTCAGCAGGGTCACCATCCATTAAAACACAACAATAATAAACTCTCTCAATGCATTACTAAAGATATGTGAGGAACTGTACTAAGGTCTGTAAGCTTAATGGATCTCTCAGGTAGGTCGAAGCTCTTCCCTCGCTCTCTGAATAGTTAATACCCGGCACAAAGCTTAGGCATCGGGGAAGAAATACAAGGAGCTGGCTGGGTATATACTGTACATGGGAAGGAACTCCTCTGGTATTTATGAAACATTAAAAAGCAAAAAAAATATTCTCGAAGGGATTTTTATACAATATATTATACCAACTATAGTCAACATGAATATAGTGAAGGCCCCTCATCAGCTAATGTACTTAAGGAAATCTTTACATTGTTATTTAACCATAAACCTCATAGAAAATAACATTAGAAAATTAGTCTATATTTTTTAACTTAACTTTAAATTACTTCACAAATTCTCTTTTATCGTCGTTAATAATCTTCGTAAAAAATAAAGTTGATCTTCGTATGTAAGAGGATAAGTGGCTAAGAGGAGGAATATTTATAAAGTGAGAAGGTGAGAGAGTAGGTAGTGGAAGGAGAGATAACTTCTGTAAGAGGGTAGTGGGCGTTGAGGTGTGGCTCTTACAGGTATTGTTATTATTGGTGAAGGGAGGACTTGCATAGTGGTGGTGATGGTGTTGAAGGAGGACATGCATGGTGGTGATGGTGTTGAAGGAAGACATGCATGGTGGTGATGGTGGTGTTGAAGGGGAACTTGATGGTGGTAGTGGTGGTGGAGATGGTGTTGAAGGGGAACTTGATGGTGGTGGTGGAGATGGTGTTGACGGAGGACAGGATGGTGGTGGAGATGGTGTTGACTGAGAGGATGGTAGTAGTGGAAATGGTGTTGAAGGAGAACACACGGGAAGCTACTGAGAAGTGGTGGGTGGGTCTGACTCAGGAAGGTGATGGTGAAATGGACAAGAAAGATAATAAGAGAGATAGAGAAGATGATAATAAGGAAGGCAAAGGGGAGAGACAGGCAGGCACAGAGAGAGAGAGAGAGAGAGAGAGAGAGAGAGAGAGAGAGAGAGAGAGAGAGAGAGAGAGAGAGAGAGAGAGAGAGAGAGAGAGAGAAAAAAAAAAAAAGACGAAAACGAAGAAGTTTATGAGGCGGGTAAAATAGGCAGATGAAAAAGAGTAGAATATCTCACGGCAGCAGAGTGGGTGAGGAAAACGTAAGGAGAATATTTCATAGCGGGAGTAAAAAGAGAAAAAATAAACCCGAGGAGAAGATTATATTTTATCGCTGACAGAATGGAGGAAGTTGAAGAAAAAAATCATTCCCAAGCCGAAGTAAAGAGGAGGAGGAGGAGGAAGGCGAGCAACAGGAGGAAGAAGAGGAGAAGAAAGAAGAGCAGGAGGAGGAGGAGGAGGAAGAGGAAGATCAAAAGGAAAAGGAGGAGGTGGAGGAGGAAGAAGAGTATTTCACAGAGGCCGACATACAGACAGACGAGGGAGGAAAATACTGAAATAGTGGCTGACCAGAGCACACGGTGGAATTTTTCTTGACGTAGAGAGAGAGAGAGAGAGAGAGAGAGAGAAAAAAAAATATGCTGCAGAAGAAGTAAATAGGGCGAAAGAGAATCCCTTGAGGGCACTGAGAAAATGAGAAAGATAGAGGAGGAAGAGACAGAGAAATATGACATTAGGAGAAACGGAGACGAAGATGATGACTGAAAAGAGGCTGAGATGATTGAGGTGAGAAATATATCAAGAGGAGAGATATTGAGGTGACTGAAGTGAGAAATATATCAAGAGCAGAGATATTGAGGTGACTGAAGTGAGAAATATATCAACAGGAGAGATATACTGAGATGACTGAAGTGAGAAATATGCGAAGATGGGAGATACAGAGGTAACTAAGAGGGAAAAACTGTAGTTATTTTAGTTATTCATACATTGAGAGAAGCTGGGAAAGATTAAGTAGAGTACAAGTTAATTTATATAGGGATCTACCCGTCATAAGTTTGGGAGAAGCTTTACTCTGTCCACAGGTTTAGTCAGTATAACCAAAGAATAATTACTAACACTAAAACACAAGAAAATAATAGTAATTAAAAATCATAAAAAAATCTTAAATATCCCTCAAAAACAACACAAAAACGTTAGCAGTCAGGTCAGGAGAGGCAGGATTAAGGTGTCTGAACTCATTTTTGTAAATATTTATGTGTGTGTGTTATTTATCCAGGTATATGACTCAGGTGCATTAATTAGTCGAGTTGACGTTGGGGAGACAGCAGAGACGGAGGTGTAACATTACCGATATACACGATATAGATTTTGTTGTCAATAAGTTTGTGCGCCTGACAGAAGCACGTCAGCCAGCCGTGTAGAAAGAAAAGATTTGCATTACACTATGAAATATATTTTATCAATGCCAGTTTTCTTCATATATCACCTGAGTGGGAGTGACAAACACGACATAAATTTTTAAGATCTAAGCATAAATTGTTGTAAGATTATCGAGCACTGTTTATAAAAGACATTACTGAGGCGATACATAAAGGTGGACTCATCAACATGAAAATATTGACAGTCTACAATGACATTTATAAACCAGATATGATAAATTTGTGATAAGAATTATTAATATGACGACTTGGGGTGTGTGTGTGTGTGTGTGTGTGTGTGTGTGTGTGTGTGTGTGTGTGTGCATGAAGACCGTGTTTAGAGAGCTCTTGCCTTACAAAGAGTAGTCTGATAGCCTTGTCACACAAAGAATATTCACACGGCTTTGCAACACTATAACTGTGTTCGGATGTTAAGTGAGACGCAAAGGATGTGTTCGACTATTTTTTCGACACAAAGACTAACACAGAAATTAATTACAATGTGTTAGATGGATGGGATAGGTTAGGTTAGGTTAGGTTAGGTTAGGTTAGGTTAGCTTAGGTTAATAATACTGTACCAGCAGAGAAAATGACACAATTACATTCACGACCTCAGAGGATATATTCTGATCCTGTTACCGGCGATGAAACACAGATACATCTTGTGTTTGACTGTAGAAAATAACATAAATAAAAGACAATATTATCAAACAGATGAGAAACACAAATGCAAGATCGAACAGTGTTAGTAAAGAGTTAGGTGGAGTAGTGTAGCAGCCATATACAGGGTGAGTAGTGTAGCAGCCATATACAGAGTGAGTAGTGTAGCAGCCATATACAGGGTGAGTAGTGTAGCAGCCATATACAGAGTGAGTAGTGTAGCAGCCATATACAGGGTGAGTAGTGCAGCAGCCATATACAGGGTGAGTAGTGTAGCAGCCATATACAGGGTGAGTAGTGCAGCAGCCATATACAGAGTGAGTAGTGTAGCAGCCATATACAGAGTGTTCCGTAAATACCTTTCA